TATGCGGCGCAGTTTTTCCCGTCCAATTATGTGGTGCAATCTACGCAGTGTAGTCAGTATTCAATGCACTCTATGCGCTTCAACCTTGGTGGCGCAGGGTGTGCAGTGCAGCCTGCGCGTTGCAATCTAAGTTCTGCGCTCTACGCAGTTCCGCAATGTAATGCAAAACGCAGCGTCGCAATGCAAAGCAATCCGAGGAATGCAGGCCTCGGCGACGGGCAGCGGCGAGGCGGCGACGGGTCGGCGACGGCGTCCACCAATCCGCCTGGCTGCCTGCCAGGGCCAGGCGACGGGCGGCGACGAGGCGGAAACGGGGCGGCGACGGCGACCGCCCATCCGCCAGACCGCTAGCTCAGACGACGGGCGGCGACGGGGTGGCAACGAGGCTGCGAGGAGGCGCCGACGGTGACCGCCGAGCCGCTGGACCGCCAGCCCAACCCAGACGACGGGCGGCGCCGAGGCGGCGACGGGGGGGCGACGGCGACCGCCGAGCCGCCGCGCCGCCAGGCAAGCCCAGCTCCGTAGCATGCAGGTCGAAACCCGCGCCTATTCCCCGAGCGTGGGATGTCATTTGGTTCCCGGGCGTGTTCAGGATGACCTCCGAAGGCTGCGGGGGGTGCTCCCCCGAGAAGCCGGGCAAGAGGCCCTCGACGCCCATGACTTTGGAGATCCCGACCGTGCCCCGCCGTGCCCGTTGCTGCGGTGGTTTCGCGGGGCCGTTCGGGCCCGCTTCCAGGAGCTACGAAGCAAGGTGGCGGAAGAGGAGGATGGGGCGAAGGTGGCTGCGGCAGAAGCGCCGCCAATTTGCCAGCGACTAAAATGCCCTGTATCCGAATGTGATGCGGCCTCAGTGGAACAGAGGGCCGCGCGTCTCGGGCGCGCCAGAGGCGTCGCGAACCCCGCGGGCTTCGCGGATGACCATCTTAGAATTACTCAGCGCCCCAGGTGCCATAACAAGTTCGATCGAAAGGATGCCCTCGTCCGCCGAGACCGTCGCTGGAGATGCCGTGCTGATCCGTCTATGGTTCGAGCTGTATGGGCCGCAGTGCTGGCGTCTCTGGGGCCGCGCCTTCCCGGCCCGCCCCTTGGCCCGCCAGGGCCCGTCAGCGGCGTTTGCGCTGATGGCGGAGTTCGAAGGCGCGAAGCGCGAGCCCGAGGCGCGCGCGGCAGGAGGGGCGCGCGGCGGGCTGCAGCGCGGGCGAGAACGCGCCCGACGGCAAACTCCAGTCGCTCATGTGCAGAGTGTTGCTCCAACGCGAAAGCGTGCGCTAATCGCCGGCCGTGGGCGACGACTTCGCGCCGGCGCTGATGGGGCGCTCGAAGACGGGGGCGGCGGTGGAGGCTGGGGGTGGGCCACCAGAATGGCGCGAAGGCGGGGGGGGACAGCGCGCGCGAGGGAGATGATTTCAACGGCCGCCCGCCGGGCCGGCCGCCAGACGACCTCCCCAGGAAAGTTGCGTGCCGCCGCGGAGAGGCCGCGGCCAGATCAGAGAGGCGATTGGGCAGGGCCCGCGCCCGCGCGAGGCCGTCGAGGCCGTGGCGGTGCAGGAGAGGTGGGGCCCCGTGGTGCGGATCATTGATGTGGTCGCGAGGGCCGCGAAGTGCTTCGAAGTGTCTAAGCGAATGAGGATCCGATCGGGTACGATGGAGACGGGCCACCAACTGCTGCGGGGACCTGAAGACCGCCATGATGGCGCTGAGACTGAACGGAGGCATGAGATCAGTGGGCGGGCAGCTCGGTCACGACCGCAGTCCGAGATCCAAGGTCGCCGCACTTATCGGGGCTCTGGTATTAAATGGGCGGAGACATGAAGGGCGACGACAAGGGGCCCAAGAAGGAGTGGGCCGGCGGCGCTCCGGGCGAGCCGAGGGCGGAAGCCGCCGCAGACGAAGTCCTGAGATGGCTAGGGCTGTTTTCAGGTTCATCGTCGCCGCAGTTTTGCCGAGACGGCCCCGACGGGCCTCCCGTTCGCCGCGCCAGACACCACCGTATTTTTGTCAAGCGTCAGAGAACATATCATGCAAGCTCTGAATGGAGGGCGGGCAGACTATTTAGTTTGTAGGAGTTTATGTGATCATGGCGAGTTGTTCAAATTTGCCTTCTGTTCATTTCCTCGTGGGAGCTGCTGCGTTCCAAAATGTTCGCGGGGTGCTTCGCTGTCGTGACCGGGCTCGGCTGGAAGAGCCCGTTCGTCGATGCGCCTGTGCGTGGCCGTCGGGGCCCTGCGCTGGCGCCGCGGCCCGCTGCTGCCCTCTGGCCCCGGCCCGCCCGCCCCCGCCTCGTCGGTCGCGCGCCCCTGAGCTCTGCGCGTAGGCGGGCGGCCTCCCAGGCCGCAGAGGGGCGTCGGGGGCCGCCCCCCGCAGCGCCGCCTCCGCAGAGGCTAGGGCGCGTGGGCGCGCGGTCGTGGCACGTGCTCCCGCCTTTCCTCCTGCGCCCCCTTCTTTTGAATATTTTTTTTGCGGCGCGTCGTTTCTGGGGCGCGCCGACCTCGATGGGTTTGTATTTGAGGCCCGCGCGAAGCGCCCGTCATGGGGCCCCAGGGCGTCGTGTCTTGAGGAGGGGCGGCGGAAACCGGTGGGTGTCAACGTTGTTGCTTTTCTATGAGATGGCCATCTTTGGTTTCCAGGGGTTCCAGGCTTGGCCGCGCGCCTTCGGGCGCTGAAGCAGAATCTGCGCTGGGTCTGGGGCGGGCCCCAGCCTTCGCTGTCCGCGCCCCTGCCGCCCGACTGCGAAGTCGATGTCCCGGTGCGCTCCCGCGCGGGGGCTGCCCGATGCAGGTCGCGGCGCCAGGGCGGGGCTCGCCGCCCCGGCCTTCTGGGCCGGCGGCTGCCGGCGCGAGCCCGCGGGGCCGCGATAGGTAGCGCCGCGACGCCGATCAGCTCGCCCAACAGATCTGCGACAGCTCGCGACCCCTGCCCCTGCGGGCCCAATCGACGCTGGAGCGTCGGGCGCCCCCGCCCGGGCCCATTGGGCTGCAGACATCCTTTCGTGCTCTGAACCCGGATCTGTTTTCCCAGAAGTCTGACCTGCAGGGGCGGGGTTCACAGGTGGTTGCCTAAGACTGGCCAGGTCGCCGCGCGCGATGGGAGCTGCGGCGCAGGGAGTACCGGGGCCTCTCCGTGCAATCCCGAGCCTCGCCCGAGGTGCGAACCGAGCGCCCCGAGCCGGTGCTTCGCCGAAGCCGATCTGGCGCCCCGCCTTGCGAGTTGGAGCGGGGTGGGGGGCGCCCAGTGGGCGCGCGACAGCGCGTGCTGCATCTTCCTGCGAAGGCCCGCGGCATTGCGCGCAGGTGAGGGGCGCTTGCTTCGTCCTGCCAGATTTCTGCGCGGCAGACTGGCCAGGCCCCGCGGTGGCCCTCGGGCCCCGGGGAGTTCGAGCAGAGAGCTTTCGGCCGCCAGGAACAAGCGCGCAAGCTGCCGGGCCAGACAGTCGGACATCGGCGCGCAGATAAGACCCCCCCGCGCCCCTGGAGATGTCGACGGCCGTCGATGCGCAGGCGCCCAAGCTGCCTGTCGACGCGGCCGTCGAGGTGCCGACGGAAGGCGCGGTTTGCGATCAGTCCGTCGAGCTACCGGGTACATGGCCCAAGCGCAGGTGGTCGCCGACGGTTGCTCCCGGGGCGTGGGTTGTCGCGTCGTGGTCGTGGCGGCCCCGTCGCGGCCGTTGCGCCGAGACCTGGGGGCCGAAGCAGCCAGCGCGTGGGTCAAGGGCAACTTGTAGCCTTGGCCTTGGAAGGGTACATGCCCATTTGTTCGTTGCATTTGGGCGCCCCACCTGGGCGCGCTCTTCGCTTCGGGCATCTCCGTGGGGCGTTGGGGCCTTCGGCGAAGGGTCTCATATTCTTGACCCTTGTTTCTTTGGCATTGGTTTGGTCGTGCCCACGGAACCGTGCCCCTGGGGTGCTTTGCGGTTGTCGTGGGGCCAGCCTTGGTGCACACGGGTCCTGTTGGGCGCTCTCGTATGTTCTTTGGGGGCTCCTCCCCCCTCCTGCGCGCCGGCCATGTAGCCTGGCTGCCCCGACCAGCCGCGCGCTGGAGCGGACTGCCTGCGCTTCGCCGCCGAGGAAACCACTCCTTCGGGGCGGCGGCGCGGCTGCTCGCCTCGCCCACCCGTGCCCGCCCTGTTCGCCCCGGCCCAGCGGGCCAGCCAGGGCGCGGAGGCCGCGGGGGTGCCCCGTCTCCCCCCCGCGCGCGCGCGGGGCAGCGCCGCGCGGCGGCCCGCGCCGGCGGGGCGACGCGTGGCGTTCGCTGCCCGCGGGGGGATATCGTGCGCTTCGACTCACGTCGGGCATGTCCCATTTCCGGAGGAGAACTCAACAATAGTCAAAGTATAGCCAGGTGACGATTTTTCGTGCTATATTGCTTATTTTTTGTGGTTTCAAAGAAAATGATTGTTTCTTCGTCCGAGGACACCCCACCGAAGCTTCGATCAAGGAATCGGAGCGAACGCTGCAGCACCGAAGAGGGGGAAACTGGGAGGGGAGGGAAGTAATAAACATGGCATGTGCGGCTGGTGAACAAGATCCTGCACCCTCCTGCTGGTTTTTGTGCCCCCCCCCACGCTCCCAATGTAAGGCTGGCGGGGTGCCCCGCGGTGTGCCGATTTGTCGGATTGCCGGAATCCTGCGCCCCGTTGGTGATGCCAACCAAAACCGGATCTAGAACAGAGGGGGTGCGTTGAAGTCTGCGCCGTCGCCCCGGCCGCGTGGGTGGTGTAGGGTTTCATGTCCTCCTACTCCTCCTCGTCCTCCTCCTCCTCCTCCTCCTCCTCGTCCTCTCCTCCTCCTCCTCCTCCTCCTCCTCCTCCTCCTCCTCCTCCCCCCCCTCCTCCTCCTCGTCCTCTCCTCCTCCTCCTCCCGCTCCCCCTCCTCCTCCCCCTCCCCCTCCCCCTCCTCCTCTTCCTCCTCCTCCTCCTCCTCCTCCTCCTCCTCCTCGTTTTCCTCCTCCTCCTCCCGCCGTGGCGTCGGCCCGCCCGTGGTCTCTCTCAGCCCGCCCCAAAGGGAGCGTATGCCGTCCTTCGCCAAGCTTTCCAACTGGCTCCTCTCGCCGTCGTTTACCAAGCTCTGCCGGCGTGGCAGCAGGACGGACAGCAGCGACCCCCTGGAGGCGCAGCTTGGGCGCCCATCCCTGGCCACGAGCACCTCGACCCTATCGTGCCTAAGCACGGGATCGAGCTCCCAGGAGTCGGTGGGCCCGAAGGTCTCCATCGATGCGGTCACAGAGGTGCCCTACGAACTCTACCTCGACTTGGTGGCGGCGGGCAAGAGCGCGCGGGCGCGCGGGCAGCACCGCAAGGTCCGGCCGCAGGGCCGGGGCAGCGGCCAGGTTCGGCAGAATCGAAATGTGTACGGAAACATGCTGACGAAAACCAGCGCCAGTTCTTGCCGATTTTGAGCTGGACTCGCGGTCGGTGTGCCCGCGGACGTCGTCCGTTCCAGGCAAAAAGCTGCCTGCCCTTTAGCGGCCGCAGCCGGGTTGGGGCACCATTCGCTGTTGGAAATCGTGCTCGTTTTTTTGTAGCCGTTTCGGGTGTCCAAGCAGGTGAACGACGGAAGAACACAGGGCCGTCTGCGCCGACAGTGGCGCGTAAGCTGCCCGCGCAAGGTCGCGCACAAGTGCCTTACTCGCGCACAGTCCCGCGCAAGCATCCGCGTACCACGATCTCGCGCAAGATTGCTTTCGCCGCTCAGGTTCAGTATCGTTTAACCGATCCCTTCTCCCATCCCCGTCCACATCCAGACCCCCACCAGTTTTCCACCCCAGATGGGAATATACCCTCCAGAACCCGAAGCAAACGGCCCATATCCCCATCTAGGGGGGCACAGTCGGGGCGCTGAAGAAGGAGCCCTTTTCGTTGGGAAGGGGCTCCGTGTTCCTTAATTGTTTGACAGCTTGCCTCAGGTTTTCCTTCTGTTTTCGATGGGACATCGAAGTTTCACTTCTCGAGAAAAGGGGCCTCGCTCCTTATTTAGGGTTCCTTAGGTCAACGCCTCGACTGTAAGGCCAGTGTGGCCCAGGTCACGCAGTTTGGGATAGGGGTCGGGTAAATGATGCGATATGGGGTCGGACAAATGTCGTCTTCGCCGACATTTTGCGCGCAAGCTGCCCGCGCAAGGTCGCGCGTGAGCGCCCCCTCGTCTCGAATACAGCGTGCCGCTGGCGGCCCGCGTAGGCCGCCGCGCAAGGTCGCTGTGTCATCTCGCGTAAGACATGCAGTTATATGTGTATAATATATATATATATATATATATATATATATATATATATATATATATGCACACACACTATTTTTCATGTACAAAACATTTCTGACCGATGTTTGTCTTGGTTCAATGCATGAGGTTTATATTCTAAAAGCGTTTTTGTTCTCCAACACACCTCTGTTCTCAGAGCCATTCGTGGTACAGTCTGACGTAGGTAGAAGATCGAGGTCGGCTCGGGGAGGGCATCTAACTTTCCGTTGTGCTTGCGTGGATGCTGCTCTCCTGGATGTTCTGTGTTTAGCCGGCGGAGGGTCTCATGCTCTTGGAGGATGTTCTTCTGCCCTAGGTCCGGCTGTAGGCCGATAGGAATGCGGGGACGATCGCTCCCTGCTCAATACTTCACCGCCCACCAAACAACCCCAACCCAACCTGAAGGCCCCGATTTACCCTCCGTCTCCCGGGGGGGGGGGGGGAGGCTCGGGGAACATGGACCAAATGCCACACACGAAGCCCGTATACCCCCCCTCGAGCCCCCGACGTCCGAGGCTTCGGATTGGGCTGGGGGTGGTCTGGCAGGAAGCCCAAGCCAGGCGGCACGCGAGCCCTCGCGGAGGAAGACGCGCCTGGTCAGCTGCGAGGCGGGGCCGCTCGAGGCCGCCGCCCCGCAGCAGGGCCCGCCCGCGGGCGGCGGCCGGGCGGCGGCCGGCAGGGCCCGGGCCCGCGCGGGGGAGAAAGCGGCGCACCTGTGAGTCGTAGGCAGTGGCGAGGCGCCCCTGGCCTGCCTACGTGGGAGTCCCGCACAGGGTGTGTGTGTGTGTGTGCGTGTGTCACCACCCACCAAACCTCCCCAACCCAACCCGAAAGCTCAGATTTACCCTCGATTTCCAGTGGGGGGGGGGTCGGGAAACATCGAAAAAACACATGTGGAACCCTTACCCCCCCCAACCCGAAATTCGGGCCTTCGGGTTGGGTTGGGGTGGTCTGGTAGGTAGTCAGTGTGTGTGTGTGTGTGTGTGCGTGTGTGAGAGTTCGATCCGTATGCAAAATGCATACCGGGCGCAAGCGAACCGTATGCACACCGTGTATCGGGCCGGACGGAACGGGAGGGTTGGGAGAGGGGGGGTTACGAAATTTGCTGCATGCAGCTGGTTTCGGCCTCACCGAGGGGCCCATTCCTCGATACATAGCTCCCTCCGGCGCCGGGAGGCGCCGGGAAAATCAGCTACGGGAGCTGATTATCACCCCCCCTTTTGCTATCCCCCCCTTTCGCCCGACCCGAGTATACATGGAGAGTGGGCAGAACGCATACCTTCCGTATGCAGAGCATGTACACAACGTCTAGAAGCTTGTACAACGCGCATCGCAATTGCATCCAAGCCGCATTCCACACGTCATACAACACGGAGGCGAGCCGTGCTTGGCACGTATACACTACGGACACAACGCGTATACAGAACGTATTTGCAACGTAAAAGCAGATACCCCCGCCGCTGGCAGTTCCCGATGCAGTGCAGGCAGGCCCATGCCAAGAAACACCCCCTGCTCGCCTCCAGGGTGCCCTGGGTTTCTCGGGCTTCGATGGTTTTGCTTTGGAAAGCGTGACGTCCCCACGCCAAAAATCAATGGACGTCCTGGGGTTCAGGGTCGGGTTTCTTGTGGAAGGTTTCTTGTGGACTGGCCCCCACCGTAGTTGTTGATAGGTGGGGCATTCCGGGGGCATCTGTTTGCGACAGTTCGGTGCACCAGCGGATCAAACTCGTGCGTCCCCTCGGGGTCGCCCTCCCCTTTGGTGGATCCCGGCTACAGTTGGACCGAGGTTTAAGATCGAGGTCGGTCTGGCGAGGGTGCCCTATCGTTCTTCGCTTTTGTTTGATGCTCTTGCGCATCCTGCTCTTGCGCACGTTCTGTTAGTTTTGGCCGGCAGAGGGTCTCATGTTCTTGATGGATGATTCTGGCTTAGGTCCTACCGTATAGGCCCGCGAGAGAATGTTCTGAGAACCTTTTGTGGTTTGCGCGAACTGTTCTCAGAACATTTCTGGTTGAAATAGGCTTGTTTCAGCACCTCGGCTTCGTGTTCTAAGAGCATTGCCAGGACGGTCGATCCGTGCTCAATTGAGATTGGCCAGCGCTTCGTGCGGGGGCCCGCGCTGTGAGGCGAGTCATTATCTCATGGCCTTCGGCTCAGGGGAGGAAGAGGTACTCATACCGCTCCCCTCCCCGTTTTTCTCTTTTTCGGGCCTCCTGGGCGGCCCTCGTCGCCATCGATGGATTCTTTTCGAAATTCTGGTCAGACCGCACCCCAGGTGAGGTCCGGGGAGTAGCGGTATCGGGATATTTTGGTTTCCCCATCGACCTATCCCGCCACCGTGGGGGCGCGCGCTGCGAGGAATCACTGGCTACGGTGGGTTCATGCGGCGTTGGCGCGCTGGCGACGCCGGCGAAGGCGTTCAAGGTTAAATCCTGTGACGCGGAAGCACCGCGTGACACGGTGACGCTACTGGGCCCGACGGAATTCAACCTTGAACGATCGGGGCTGCGATGGGTTCAAGGTCGAACGATCGACGCGGTGTCAAAAAAATTTGCGCGCGCCGATGCCGCACGAACCTGCCATAATGGCCTTGGGCCCATCCGCCACCGTGCCTGGGTTGCGGGCCATAAGCCTCTTGGGTGTTCGTTGGGATGTCGCGGGAGGCCTCTCGGGGGCCTCTTGGGGGCGATTTTGAGGCCTTCTGGGAGCCGCTTTGGGGCCTCTTGGGCCGTCTTCGGTCTCTGAGGGGGCTGGCCGGCGCGGCGTGTCGGGGGGCGCGCGCTGCGAGGAGAGCCTCTGCTTACTAGACCGCCCCAACCCAACCCGAAGGTCCTGTCCTGGAGCCCCCCAAAATCTCGGGCTGGGGGGCGCACGGGCTCCAGCGTGTGTGTTTTTCCTCGATGCCCCAACATGTCCCCCCCCCTCTCCCGCTGGAGACTGGCAGGCCCAGCGGCGACTCCGGGTCGGGTGGGGGCGGCTTGGTGCGTCGTCCGAGAGGTGGAGCCGGGCCCCCTCCCAGCGTTCCTGGCTCTCGCTCGGCCCCGCTGGCCGCCTCGGCGTGCCCCGCGTCCTCGGCGCTCGCCTGGCGTCGCTGGCCCGCTGCCCGTCCTGGCGTCCCCGGCGCGCCTGGCGCCTCTCGCCGTCCCGGGCCTGCTGGCCGCCCCGGGCGCTTCCTGGCGCTCCTGGCGCGCTGCGTGCTCCGGGCGCTCCGGGCCTGCCTGGCGGCCTCGGCCGTCTCGGGGGTCTCTGGCGCTCCCGGCAGTCCCGGGGGCACAGTCGGGGCCCTGAAGAAGGAACCCTTTTCGTTGGGGAGGGGCTCCGCGTCCCTTAAGTGTCTCTTTCGCAGCTTGCCTCAGGTTTTCCTTATGATTCCGACCGGAAATCGAAGTTTAACTCATGGAAAAAAGGGGCCTCGTTCCTCATTTAGGGTTCCTTAGGTCAACGCCCCGACTGTAGCGCTGGCGCTCCCATCTGTCGCGGCGTTCCCGGCCTGCGGGAGCAGGCTGCGAGGTTGGGGGATGTTTGCCATGAAGGAAGCGCTCTTCCGAGAGGAGCACGAGGGGTGGGCGGGTGCTGAACTAATCAGTGCCCTCCCCCCCCCCGTCTGGGCCGAAAATTTGCCTCGGGATCCCTCCTCTTGGGCCACTCTCGTGGCGCTCTTGGGCTGGCTGCCTTTCGGGTCCCGAGGGGGCCGGGTCCTGAGGTTTTATCGCCGCTCCTGGCCGCTGTTCTGTGGCCAACCTGGGGAGCTGTAGAATGGACTTCGACTTGGGTTTTTGTTCGAGGATAGCGGCGATTAGCGGCACGCGCGCTGGTGGCTCCGCTGGGGTCGGTGGTCTCACTGACGCGCCAGTCCGCCAGTGGCCGCTAGTGGCCGCTGGTGGCCGCTAGTGGCCGCTAGTGGCCGCTAAGTGCGGGTAAAGAGCTGCTAGTGGCCGCTGCCGGCTGCTGGTGGCCACTAGATGGCCGCTACATGGGCGCTGAATGGCCGCTAGATGGCCGCTAGTGGCCGCCGGTGGACGCCAGTGGCCGCTGAAGTGCCAGTGGCCGCCGGTGGCCGCTACAGACCGCTAGTGGCCACTAAGTGCCGCTAGATGGTAATTTTCGGAGGTCGCGATGGTCAGTGCGAAATCCCCCCCAGAGAGGCCGCATAACCTTATGCAGGGCCCTCCGCGGGCCCTGGGGCTGTCGGAGAAGAACGGGGCGACAAGCTTCTCCTGGGGGAAGGCCCCGGGTCCAAGGCCCCGTTTCTCCCTCGAGACCCGTTGCTTCCATGCCGGGTGGAGAGGGTTGGCCGTTGCGGCGTGCACCCTCGGGCACTCCTTTGCGTACATCCTCCTCCTCCTCCTCCTCCTGCTCCTCCTCCTCCTCCTCCTCCTCCTCCTCCTCCTCCTCTTCCCCCTCCTCCTCGTTCGGAGGCCGCGAATTCGGGTGCTGCCGATCTCACAGGAATATATAGAGCCAGCATCTCCGGCACCATGCTGTTGACAGCACGTGCACGCTGCCGCGCGGTTCGTTTCGGTTTGCAGGGCGTCCCGATGCATCTGATGAATTCGCAATTCGCACGACAAATGTGCGTGCTGAGGCGTCGTCAGGCCTACAGGGTATGTGGCGCAGAGTTTGGGAGTTACCAGGTTGTGTGGTAGGCATGTAGGTGCAGTGTGGTGCTCTGCATTTCAGGTCCCGCTCGGCTCGGGGGCCGTGAACGGTTGCTTTGCAACACCCGAGTCGGGAATGACGTAAAGAGGGGGTGGGACAGGAGAGGGCCCGAAGCCTGCTGCATGCAGCTGGTTTCGCCTGATGCTGGCCACGTTCTTCGATGCATGGCCGCCTCCAGCGCCGGGAAAGCGAGTCACGCGCAGCTTATGCGCTAGCACCCCCTTGCCAGCCCCCCCTTTCGCTCCTCCCGACCTGGGCAACCCGCTCGAGCTCAGCCCCACAAGGGGCCCACCTTGCAGAAGACAAGAAAGCAAGAAAGACATGCGCGGACCCAACGCTTGCGTGCACCGTGGGCGCCGCTCTGCCTAAAAAAAGGCCGTCATCATTTTTAGACAGCTGTCGGTCTCGTCGCCTCTTCTCTTCTCCATCCTCGGCCCCTGCAGCTCCCCTCTTTATCCCCTCTTCCCGGGCCCGTGATATACCCCCTTGCGCCCTACCCTTAAAGTGCTGAAGCCAGCGCCTCGCCTGAGACATCCTCGGAAACTGCTCCGAAAGAGAAGGATGTTGAGCATCCAAACAGGCAAACCGCCTGAGACATCCCCTCAATCTGGGCGCGAACGGGCCCGTGCAACACCCCCTGGCTTGTCCCCCCTGGGAGTACTGATAGCAGCGCCTCGCCTGAGACATCCTCACAACGTGTGTGTGAGTCTGAGCGCGGAAGTATCAGGAGTGTGTGAGTGAGTCTGCATATGA